TTTTCTGTAGCACCCTTCAGGCTCAGGGCACTGTACAAATGAGGATGCATGCAGGCTTGGATGTCACCTGCAAGGGTGCTGCAGCTGGGGAAAGGGAAGCAGAAAGCAATGAAGTGATTAGCCCAAGGTCACGATTTCATCTGCAAGCACAGGGAAAGCTCTAAGCCCTGTGGCTTAACCAATACACACAGATACAGCAACCCTAATGAGCTCTTCATTAGACCCACACTGCATGACTGGAATGGTTTGACACTGTAGGAACTCAAGCCAAGCAATAGTGAGAACTTTTCTTTCAAATTTTCAACTCAAAAACACCTCTCTTTCACTGCAAGAGAAGCAGCATTATTCTTAAGGAAACCTGTGAATAACTGAATTTGAGAGCTGGTTATTCTGAAGGCAAGCAAAAGGCTTTGTTCTTATCCAGACCCCAAATCTCAGGTGATAAACAATGGTAGAATATAAATGCTAAAATACTCATCTCCAAATAAAGTGTTCTGGTCTTATCAAAGTGAAACACTGCCATAATTTTCCATCGAAAGTATCGTCAGCCCATTCCGAGCAGCCATTCTGACCCAGCCAAGATGCACACTGTGAGTCTATTCTCTATGCTTCATTATTTCCCCAGGGTAAAAAGGATTTTTTTCTCCTCTGCTGCACAGACATCATTGGGATGTTTTCAGTTAAAAAAAAAAAAAAAAAGTAAATGTTGTGAGTCGAGAGAGCAGCTCTGAACTCATTGTCCCCTTAGGTAGGAAGCATACCACAAAATGTTCCTTGCCTTTGTGCAAAGTGAAGCTAACAGCATAAAATCCACTTTTTTTTTTTTTTTTTTTTTTTTTTTTAATTGCATTGCATTGCATTGCATTGCATTGCATTGCAACAACCTGGGACGTTACATCTCACTCCTATACTTACCATCTCACCAACATATTTCCAAGTGAACTTGAATTTGTACACTACCAGTGCTCTAAGAGCTCAACTTCAAAGCTTGGTTGACTTCATAAAGAACCAACCATGGCAGGCAGAAGAGATGACGCAAGCCAACTCAGACAAGACAACCAAAGACTGAAAGGCTGCGCTGCAAACCCTCAGCCTCCTGCTCTCCTTCCTTCTGTTGATGGATTGATGGCTGTACTAGATAATCTCAGTGGTCTTTTCCAACCTTAAGGATTTTATGATTCTCCCTGTCTCCACCAAATTGCCAAGAAACATTGTAAAACACCATCACAAGACCCTTAATCAAACTGATCACATCTTGCAAAGGTATAGTTTGAACATATGGCTGTGTAATTTCCTTTCGCCCTTATCATCCCCTCTTCCCTCATCATTAGCACTGCTATTATGTGGGTGTAGCATCAGAGTGTGCCACCACCATTCTTCTACCAAGCTGGGTGTGAGGTAAAACCAAAATGAAAAGACAGAAGCAAAACCTTGTCTGTGTTCTTTAATTTAAGAGCTTTTAGTGTCCAGTGACAGTCAGACAGTAATCCAGCCAAACTAACAAGAGAAAATGCCTCTGTCTAATTGAAATAGTGGGATCCAAGGGAAATCAGATCCAGAGAAAGAGTTGAGCTCAAAGTCCAGTTTTGGGCTGGGTCCAAACAGCCCCATCATAGTTTAGGGGTGTCTCTTTCCAACACTGCTTTCAGAACAAGCTCATAACTCTATCAAAATCAAGGAAAACTGCTTCCTTTCCCTGCTACAAAAGCAACATGAAGAAAAACCTCATCCTTGGCAGCTCTGAATCAGACGCCTGGGCAGCAACACTCATCCACCACAAACCTTTTCAGGTCCCTTTTCACAGCAAAGAAGCAGTGCCCATAGCAGGGTTACAAATATTTCAAACCGCCAGGGCCAAAGATTCCAGAAGGGAGATTTATAGCAATAAATAATATTAATGACACAGGCGGACAGAGCTTCTTGTCTGGAGAGCTCCAAAGGCACATGAAAAACTGCACTATAAATGTCACCACTGCAGACACCAACACTGACGAGATGCCACCTCTGGGGAAGGCAGGCAGCTCGGAATGACACTCGGACAAGAAACCAGGAGGACCTGAGTGAGCAGTGCTCCGTCGCACTGACAAATGCTGGGCTTTACTTAGGGGGAATTCAGGTCTCAGCTTTCCTCCAAGCACAGCCGAAGAACTCATGAACTCATGAGCTGACTCCAGTCTGGGAATAACAAATTGTGAAACTACATCCCAATCAACAGCCAGAAGAGTTGGAAAGAGGAGGGAGGAAGCAATTTCAGACCCAAACCCCAAAAGACTAGCAGAGAGGTAAGTTGCAGATACAATAAAACATGTGTGGGGGAAGGAAGCTGCATCCTCCTGCAGCCAAATACAATCTCAGATGCGAAAATGCCTGTACTGATGATAAAGGGCTTACACCAATTTGTGGTAACCAGATAACTCCCAAACACCAAGATCTGAGGCAGCAGTAGTATGTGACCATGTCAAATTGACGTTTTTTTTCACTATCTGTTTAGTTAAGAAACCCCAGTCCCTCTATGAACATAAAGTTAGCCCTGCATTAGAGAAAGTTCTGCTTTAGCCAAGCCACAGACTTCTTTCTCTGTGCTTCCCAGCCCACTTCCATAAGATAGATGAGTGGAGGACCTTCCCTGGTTGCTCAGCTGCACAGCTGGGCTCACTTATATCAAGCTTTGCCTTAAAACTATTCTTGCAGCAGAAATCTTGATTTATTGCTTCTGATCATGCAACCCTTCTAGACTTCAGCGGGACTGGGTTGTTCGCAATGACAGCACGATGTCCTCGTAGCACAGGACAAAGCTCACCCATCCGTCATCCCTGTGGTCATCACAACGTCCAGAGTCAAAAGTTTAAGCAGCTGTAAGCTCAGGATGAAGTTTGGAGTATTGCAGCTGCCAGATGCAGTGCTGCAGGGGCATGTATGAATAACAGAATCACAGAATCATAGAATAGCTTAGATTGGATGGGACACTGAAGATCACTGAGCTCCAACCCCCTTGCCACGAAGAGTTGTCACCCACTAGATCAGGCTGCCCAGGGCCTTATCCTGCCTGGCCTGGAATGCCACCAGGGATGGGGCATCCACAGCTTCTCTGGGCAGACTGCTCCAGTGCCTCACCATCCTCTGTGTAAAGAATTTCTTCCTAATATCCAACCTAAATTTCCACTCTTTTAGTTTAAATCCATTTCCTCTTGTTCTCTACCTACTTACCTGTGTAAATGTTCTGTCTCCATCCTGCTTATAAGCTCATTTCAAATACTGGAAGACCACAATGAGGTCTCCCTGGAGCCTTCTCTTCACAAGCTGAAGTATTGGCGCAGAGATCTGTAGGATATGGGTCCCAGCTGGTTCAGCAGAGCACAGCAGGACACCTTGAGTGCCACCTGGGTACAATTTGGGTGCCACTGCTGTACCAGCACGGTTCCCTCCCTTCTGCACTTCGTTTCAGACAGCAAAACAACTTCCTATGGAAGAAGACTGTTGCAGGGACATCAAATGCAACCAACTCGGGTTGGATATTAGAAAAAATTTCTTCTCAGGAAGAGAGGCAAGATTTTGGAACAGGCTGCTCAAGGAGGTGGTGGAGTCACCATCCCTGGAAGTTTCCAAGAAATGTACAGATGTGGCACTGAGGAGCATGATTTAGTGGACATGGTGGGGACGGGCTGATGGTTGGATTAGATGACCTTAATGATCTTTTCCAATCTTCACAATTCTATGATTCTATGAACTCTTTCTAGGTCCCTTCCAAGCAGGAACATGCTCCTACCTTCAAACCTTCTTCAACCAGAGCGCTGCTTTGGAAATAAGAAGCTCAGTGCTTCACTCCAGAGGACCCAAAGAGCAACTCTATGCAGGGCTCAAGAGCCCACTTGGAGTGGCTGGACCTGCATGGGGTCCAGGCAAATACAACCAACACTGTGTCTTTAAAACCACTTCAGTGCAGATGTTGTTTCCATGGTAACTAGTGGACCAAATACATTAGTGTTTCTAATAATAAACCGAACCTTCATCTTGGAAAATGTGATCCCCCCCCCCCCCTTTACCAACACCACCCTTCCTTTCTTTCTTTCCCCTCCCCTTTTGCTGAATTAAGCCAGCGTTTAACAAGCAAGGCATAATTAGTAAATAATTGCCCGGGCCCAGTAACTCCCAATGCCCAGCAGATGGAGGAGTGTGGAAGGAGAGGAGGGGGAGCTCCTCTCCATCAACTTGGGACAGCATCCAAAAAAGGAGAAATTACACACACACACACCAAAAAAAAAAAAAAAAAAAAAAAAAAAAAAAAAAAAAAGAAGTGCAAGGTGGAGGAGAGCAATCCCTTCGGGCCACCCTGGCAGTGCCCTGGGTGCCCTGGCAGCCGCCCTGATGCTCTGATTCAGGGTGCAGCATTTCGAGGAATCTCCGTCCGAGCAGCGGCGGCGGAGGCGGCATCGCTGCGCCGACAGCGGATGAAACTTCGCGCACACCCCCCTCCGCAACTCCCCCGTTTTTGTTCTGGCGCAGGGATCACCCCCCTCCTCTTCCCCCCCGCCCCCCCCCCAAAAAAAAGCCCTAAACAGGTGATAAGGAAACGTGACGGGGATGCAGAGGGGTGAACAAGCCTGAATGTGGGATGGGGATGGGATGGGGATGATGCTCGAAATGAAGACACGTGTGACGATGGAGTGGGGGGAACCCCCCTCCCAGGCATACACTTTAGCAGCGTTCCAAAATCACAGCGCAGGAGGAATGAGGAATAAGGAGGAAGGGGACATCAATGCAGCAGCATCCCCAGTCTGTCCTCCCCTCCCCAAGCTACGGCCGAGGAATAAAGGCAACGGGGGTGGGGGGAAGGATGTAAAGCCCCCGGGGATGAGGGTGCTCGCTACCAGCACCACTTGGGCTCGGGTTTGTGCCTTCCCATCTCTTCTATTTTATCGTCCCCCTGCTCTTTTCCTTCCCGCCCCGCAACCCCTCCCTTTCTCATCGTCCCCTTTCCGCGGGTGACCGGAGGGACTCACCATGTCGGGGCTGAGCTGGGCTAAGATGGCGAAGGCGGAGAGCTTGTCACAGAGGCATTTAGTCCGGGAGGCGTCGAGCGGGACCGTTCGGCAACCGCGCCAGGACCAGGCGCCGGGCAGGGAGGCGGAGGCTCTGCTGGAGGGAGGCAGGGAGGGAGGGAGGGAGGGAATGGGGCGGCGGAGCGGGGAGAGAAGGAGAGCGGCCGTCAGGGAGGGTGGTGAGCGGGCATGATGCCGCGGGGGGGGGGGACGCGGTCCCCGCTACCTCCCTCCCTATAGGATTGAGTATAGCAGTGGTCCCACCCCCAGCTCAGCTCGGGTCCTGGCCCTATCCTGGTCCTGACCTTTTTTCTGGACTTGGTCCTGGACCTAGACCCGGTCCTGACTTTGTTGCTGGACCTGGTTCTGGTTCTGATCCTGTTCCTGATGCTGATCCTGACCCTGATCTTTATCCCTATCTTTAGCCTTACCCTGGTCCAGATCCTGTCCCTCATCCTGATCCTGATCTTAATCCTGATCCTGATCCTTATATTGGTTTTGATCCTGATCCTCACCCTGGTACCAGACTTACTTTTAATTGTGGTCTTAACTCTTGTCATGATCTTGGTCCTGACCCTGACCTGGTCCTGACCCTGACATGGTCTTGACCCTGGTTGTGACCCAACCCTGGTCCACTCCCACTCCACTCTGACCCCTCCATCACCCCCTCACACACACACAATGTAAATGCCCTTTTTCACACCCATGCACTTACCTACCCCTATAGCCGTGTTCCTTCTATCTCATATACACCTCACTAACCCTACAGCTCTGACCTGAAAATCCCATATATGTATGCATAACCTTATAACCTTTTCCACACACTACAAATTGAGATCACAGTCATAAAACTATCCCACATATTCCACACATGGACAAATAACCCTACAGCTCAGTTCTACGCAGACCACATACACCTCTCAAAGCTTATAGCTGCGTCCTACACAATCCATACACAGCTCCCTAATCATATAGCCTTGTACCACATACCCCATACACATCTCTCTAGCCCTGTAGCCCTATACAACGTCTTATATACACCTACCTAACCCTACAGCCCTGTACTATATTGCTCACAGATACCTCCCTGCCCCTATAGCCTTGTAGTACACAACCCACACACTTATCCCTGACCCTACAGCCCTGTACTACACAACCCATACACATTTCCCTGACTCTATAGCCTTGAACCCATATACATCCCATATATATTTGCCTAACCATAAACCCCTATACAACATCCTATATACACTTTCCTAACCCAACAGCCCTGTACTACACATCACATGCATACCTCACTAACCTTATGTCCATATCCTCCACAACTCATATACACCTCTCTAACCCTATGGCTGTGCCCCATATATCCCGTACCCATACATTCCTATCCCCTATTATTCCCATAGAGTTGCAGAATCCTATAGCCCTATCCCACACCCCATATACATCTCACTGCCCCCATAATTCCATCCCATCCCCTGTATGCACTTCCCTCACCCCAAGTCCTTCACAGCCCCATGCATCCTGGGGGGACCCAAAAGCCTTCCTCCCTGGTTTTGGGAAAGGGATGTGGGACATCTTCACAGGGTTTTCAGCAGACGAGGGGTGAGGAGAGCTGGAGAGACATTGAAGGGACAATACCCCCGCTTTGTAACAGCACCCTTCAACAAGGAGGCAAGAGCAAAAGGGCTGTATGCCTTCACTGGAAGAGCATGGGTGTAAGATGTCCTCCCTCCACATCTGACCATCCTCAGAGGAGGGGACCTCAGCAAGAATGCTAGCAGCAAGCCGAAGGCAGCTCCAGATGGAGCCAAGCTGCTCAGCTGCCTTAGGTGTATCACAGATGGCCTGAACTTCGTGATGCTGACTCCAGCAGACCTGGCGTGAGTTGCTGAGTTGTTTTGGCTTTTTTTCTTTTTTTCCCAGAACTCATCTCCATGCACACACTGACACATTCCTCTCTCAATGAGAGAAAATACCCATCCACTCACATCAAGAAGACAGCTGAAAGCAAAGAGAGGCTGGGTACTAGCAGGGTAACAGAGCATCAGTGCATAGTAATGATTCTGTTGTATCTACTTGGATCCAATTTAACACCTAACACTGAGCCTTCCTGAATTACCATCCTTTCAAACTAAAGTGAAAACAAAAAAAAAACAAAAACAAAAAAAAAAAAAAAAAAAAAAAAAAAGCCAAACTAATTTTGCTTTTAGGAGTTATCCTTGATAAGACAAGAGGTAATGGCATTAAGTTGCACCAAGAGAGGTTCAGGTTGGATATTAAGAAAAATTTCTTTTCAGGGAGAGTGTCCAGGCATTGGAACAGGCTCCCAGGGAGGTGGTGGAGTCACCATCCCTGAAGGTGTTTAAAAAGATTGATACCAAGGGACATGGTTTAGTGGGCATGGTGGTGATGGGTTGATGGTTGGACTAGCTGATCTCAGTACTGTTTCCAACCTTAATGATTCTATGATTCTATCAGTTACACACAATCAAAACAGTTTTTCTTCCACCTGTGCAATCGTTCCTAAATAGCTGAATTCTACTGCTTGTCCATCCAGCTGATGGGATCTGTCTTTCCTAGATAAGTCAGCTCCACACTGCACTAATTCACAATGTGTCTTGAGGTTTTTCAGGATCAGGCATCAATCTTTGGTTTCTTCCACGCATCTTCTGAAGTACATGGAATCATATAATCATATAACAGCTTAGGTTGGAGGGGATCCTAAAAATCATCGAGTTCCAATCCCCCCCAAGCTCTCTCCCCATGGGTATGGTGCTGGCTTACCCAAGGCTCCATCCAACCTGGCCTTGAACACCTCCAGAGATGGAGAATCCACAGCTTCTCTTGGCAACCTTTGCCAGTGACTCACCACTCTCTGAGTAAAGAATTTCCACCTCATATCTAATCTAAATGTCCCCTCTTTTAGTTTCAAGCTGTTCCCCCTCGTCCTATCACTATCAGACCAGGTAAAAATTAATTCCCCTTCCTTATTGTAAGCTCCCTTCAAATACTGGAAGGCCTCAGTGCCTTATCCCTGGAGCTTCCAGGCTGAACAAGCCCAACTCCCTCAACTTGTCTTCATTGGAGTGGTGCTCCAGTCCTCTGAGCATCTTTGTGGATTTCCTCTGGACCCTCTCCAACAGCTCTGCATCACTTCACCTACTCCCTTAGAAGGGACTGACTGATCCAAGGCTAATCTCAGAGGGAATATAACTTCTGCATTCTCCTCCATATGCATCACTTTTATTTCCAAGAACTGTGCTAACCAGTTGTTCTGTTTATCCACTGTCATCAAGAAAAATGCCTTATTTATGACGCGTAAAATTAATGACAAATGCTGAGACTTTATCAAGCAGTTATGTATTCTCATACAAAGTACTAATTTAGCTTGACAAAATGTATTTTCCGTAAGTTGATTTCCATTAATGCTTCTGTTTTAAGGAGTATGATATTATTCAATTATAATCACGGTGTTACCCACAATCCCCTCATTTTTGGATCCTCGATCAGATGGTGAGTTATGGTGCCTAAGACAGATGTGAGGCTGATGGCTTTGGAATGAGGACACATGGTTCTCAGCATACTTAGGGAACTTCCACTCTTCTCTTAGTGAAGAACAATGATCTCCAATTAGCCTTACCCTGCTCTTTTAAAAACTCTTGCATGCAAAATTGCTCAGACTTGTATCTCTTAAAAATGTCTTACTTTATTAGATGATGTATGGCATTGTTTCTAGCAGCTGGTGTAATGAAAAGTATTTCATTAGCTTGGGTTGTGGATTAAGTAACTAGGCTCTCTTCCAATTATAGAATATAGACATTTATTGAAATTTCTGCATTATTATAAATAAATCTGTCATTTTGAACTAGTAGCAGACCATTACCATTAGAATTTATTTTGGTTTAGCATACACTAAATTTTCCTTTTTTACTCACTTTAACAATCCTGAACTATAAAATTCCTACTTTTTTTTCTTCTCTTATCTCCCTCAAGCTTTTAATTTGTACTGCTTGCTATCAATTTGTCCTTTCTCCCTATCCTTACAACAGTTTTTACTTTTCCTCTAAAACAGACTGCTGTTTATGTAGTTATTGGCTTGTTTCTCTTTGCTCTCTTTTTTTACTATTTTGTTTGCTTTGTTTATGTGTGTTTCTTAATGCTGTGGCAATTTTCTTTTCACTTATGGTTCTTCAAAGGGCTCCTAATTATCTGTAAATTTTTCCATTTAAACAGTCCTCCACAACAGATATGTGCATTTAAAGCTATCATTCTCAAAGCACTGTGTATGTGTACATTGACACATACATAACGCCCCATGCCCCAAGCAACTTGAGACTATAAAGTGTGGATACAATTGCCTTTACATCGCTTTCAATCCTCAAACCCAGATTTGCTCATTTACCAGCTTTCAGAGTAGAGTAGGACAGATCTGGGCCACGCATCAACCAAAGTAACCTCATCCAAAAAGGCAAAGAAAACAAAGAAAAAGTAATCAGAAAGCCTACTAAAATGGGAAACCCCAGGGAAGGTATCAGAAAACAAATAACTCTCCCTAGATGCTGTGCCCAGTCTCACATTCTTGTGGCAGTAAAGCTGACAGCTCAGCAATGAGTGCAATATTGAAATAAAGTCTGTCCAAAGCCAAAGCCACATTTGGCATGGTCTGATCTTCATTTCTTGATGCTCAGAGAGAGCACAGAGTGACATCCAGGCCAAGAAAAATATTAAAAAACAGCATAACAAAAACAACCAACAACAAACAAATGAAAAAATCAACACTATCAGCCCCTTGTTCTTGTAAGATTTGTTCTGATGCCTGCTTATTTATCCCATTGCATTCAAAGAAATCAATTGGATCAAAGCCATGTAGTTTTTCTCACTTTACAATAAATCACATAAATGATGGGTGCTGCGGGACATGCTGAGTCAGAGACTTGGTGTAAATCATCTCAAAACAAATCCAACTATGCCATTTAATAGAAAATGAATCCGGCCATCATTACTACCTGTGATTATTAATTGATTATTACAAAAAAACAAGTGCTGGGTGATCCAAAGAGGATATTGTATCCATCCCTCT